CTATGATTTTGTTGCAGCAATAAACATGCAAGCCCAGGTAATCTAGTGGAAAAACTTCCTTCTCCTCTTTCACATAATTTTCTTCTTCACCTCAAACAAATGTTGAGAAACTGTAATGTAAAACTGAATGAGAGAATCTTCTGGCAACTTGACGAATTATCAGTTTATTATGCTGTGCAAGGCCAAGAAAGGTATAACAAATAATAAGATGTAAGAAATAATAAGGTATAAGAAATTTAAATTTTTAAAGTTTCATAAAGCTTTGTTGCAATAGATTAATGGCTCTTAATGGCTTTACAGAAAGAACAGATCTTTCTCTGGAGCTAAAAGGACTAAAAGATCTTCTCCCGAATTCAAGAGGCCAATATTGGAAGAAGAAATACAACATTGAATTTTCGTTCCCATCTTTTCACCAGTCTCTGGGGGGGGGGGACAAATCATAACACGGCTGCATGGCTGCAAGGAAGTTAGGCAGGAATGAGGGACTGCTGGAGCCTATATCTTTGGGACTGTCTTCCATGCCTCCAGATACAATGTAATGTGGCAATTAAGGATGGTTAGAATACTGTGAGATTAGAGTTCTTGGGCCAAATTAAAGAATTGCTCTTTTTTTGGCTACCATTCTAGGAACTATCAAAGTTAAAGCCTTCCTTAATGTTCATGCAAAGTAACAAATATGGAACAGTGAAGAGAAGAGAACTTCAGCAGAACCTCCCACAATTTTCAATAATTGTGGATAAGATGCTCCTCCCTCAGTTCATTTTTTTTCTGGCATGATGCCTATAGATCAGGGGTTCCCAACCAGGGGTGTGAGATGATATTCCAGGGGGTGCAAAAACTTGGGTTTTCAAAATTATAGTGTATATGCATAATTCGTTGCTGTTATTTCGTACTTTTGTAAGGGGTGAGAGAATATATCAGAAATATTCTAGAGGTGCGGGGTATAGAAAAGGTTGGGAACCACTGCTATAGATACAATGACCACATATCCTTTGTTATAAAGGACAGCCATTTATTTTAGAAAGCTGTCCTTTAGATTTATTTATTTTTCAGTAACTCACTTTTGTCCTTTATTTTGGTCATTTAACTTTTATGGTTCAAATGGTACCACTTAATGCAGTTTTTCATATTCATGTGAAAAATATGGACATTGAATTGACTTTTTTAAAAAATAAATTTGTATATATTGTTTCTTATTTAGGCATCTTTATTAAAATATGCATTTTTGTAAAGGTTTTACTCTTAAATTAAAACAAAATTATAAACATAAAAAATTGCAGTTCTATGAACTTCTTTATTTGTCTCTTTTTCAAGTTGGTCCTTTATTTTTTCAAGAAAATATGGTCTCTATATATACAGAACATTAGATTGAACAGTTTATCTCACTTTGGATTAACTAATTTATATAAATACTCTTTTTTCCCTCCTCACTATCTAAATAGGTTGTATCATTCTAAGAGCCTGTCATTTCTGTTTTTATCAGAAGTATATCCCTTTTTTGCTTAAAAGTTTATTTTAAGAATAACATGCATTTATCCAGGACAGGGGTCTGCAAACTCAGCCCTTTTATGACTCATGGACTTCAACTTCCAGAATTCCTCAGCCAGACATGCTGGCTGAGGAATTCTGGGAGTTGAAGTCCATGAGTCATAAAAAGGCCGAGTTTGAAGACCCCTGATCCAAGACAACAAATATAGTAATACAGGAAATAGGTAGTTATGTTCAAGAAGGTTCAGTAGATTTATTCTGAATATTTTCATTTTGTGGAACATGGACAACAAACACCAAAGATAATTTAATTTTTGAAAAATCCTTTTGATCAAATATTGTTGTTTTCTGGATATTGTTTATGCACATACTTTAGGATTACCCCACTAAGATGGATTTGAAAACTTTCCAGTTAAGACTCCTGAATACTACTGAATGAAATGATAATGTACCAAATATTTTTTTTTAAAAAAATGTGTGTCCTCTATGCAGGTTACACATACTGTAAATGCTGATTTTCTTAAACAAAGCCTACTGTTAATAGCTTTTACACATTATAGATAGAATCATAGAGCTGGAAGGTTACTTGGAGGCTTTATAGGCCAACTCCCTGCTCAAGGCGGGAGCCTTATGCATTCCAGTCAAATGATTGTCCAGTCTATTTTTGAAAATCTCCAATGATAGAGCACCCATAACCCAGGAGGCATTGACTGATTGTTCTCACTGTCAGAAGCTCTCCTTACTTTAGGTTGGATCTCTCTTTAACAAGGTTCCACCAATTACTTCTGGTCTTGCCTTCAGGTGCCTTCAAGAATAAATCAATCCCCTCTTCTTTGTGACAGCTTTCAAGACACTTACCATGTCCCCCCCAATCCGTCTCTTTGATAGGCTAGGCATCCATAGGTTCCTCAACTGTTCATCATAAGATTTGGCTTCCAAACCCTTTATCAACTTTGTTGCTCTTTGCGTACTTTCCAGTGGCCCAACATCTTTTTTGAGTCATGGTAACCAGAACTGTATGCAGTATTCTAAGTGTGGTCTTACCACCACAGTGTAACACTTCTCATTGTCTTGCCTCTGTCCTTTGGTTGATGCAGCCTAGGACTGCATTGGCTTTTTGGAGCTTGTAGCACACTGCTGGCTCACTAGGCGATCCACTAGGACACCTAGATCCCTCTAACAATTATGACTGTTGAGCTAGGTACTGTCATTTCCATACATATGCATTTGTTTTTCCTGTTTAAGTGCAGGACCTTACTTTTCTCACCACTGAACTGCATCTTGTTGGATAAGGTCCAATGTGCATGTTTATCAAGATCCTTCTGAATCTTGAGTCTATCTTCCAAGGTGTTAGCAATTCCAACCCCCAGCTTCTGCAAATTTGATGAGTTCCCCTTCTATCACTTCATATAGATCATTTATGAAGATGTTGAAGAATGTGGGCCCAAGACTGATCCTTGAGGTACCCCTCTGCATGCTTCCCTCCATTAGATGTAGCTCTATTGAGGACTACCCACTGAGTGCAGAAGGTCAGCCAATTGTGAATCAACCTGATAGTAGTATTCTCTATCCCACAATATTCTATCTTATCAAGAAGTAGGTTGTGGTCTATTTTGTCAAATACCTTGCTGAAATCCAAATATACTATGTCCACAGCATTTTGCTGATCCACTCATTTCGTCAAAAAAAGTTAATAAGGCTTGTCTGGTATGATCCATTTTTAACAACTCATGGCTTCTAGTAACCACCTTGTTTGTTTCTAGGTTCTAACCAATCCTCCGATTGATTATCCTTTCCAGGATTTTCCCAGGTATTGATGTCAAGCTGACTGGTTTATAATTTCCATGATCCATTTTCCACCTTTTTGTAGATTGGAACCACATCGACATTTTTCCAGTCCTTTGGTATTTCCCCTGTGCAAGACTGACTGTTCATCGGTCTCCAGAAGAGATATGTTTGGCTATTAAAATTCTCCAGATGACACGTGAGACTGTGAGAAAGCTGGTTCTTCAAGTCACACCATTAAAGTTTTATATACTCAGCAGACAAACAATTGCATCATAAAGAAAACATTGGATGAAGAGCTAAGATTTAATGTGAGGTTTGTATTAAAAATGTACATATTGCTAAAAAAAATATGATGTAACATATATACAAATAGATAGCTATTTCTAAAGAGCTCAAATCCACTGGGATTAGTGGCACTCAGAATACGCCCTAGCTTAGTTGTAAAGTTCAATTTATTGAAGATTTTGAAATGCCCTGTGGCAACATAGTTGCTAACTCATTAGGAATTATATTTTTGAACCTACATTACATGTGAAATCTTAACATGATTGTTATAACCTTCTAATTTAGACAGCAACATTTTGTAGTATGAAATTGTAAATTTATTTTTATTGAATCTCAAATGTTATTAAATGCTTTTAGTAAAGTGTAAAAAATTCTACATTAATATGATACAAGAGTAAGAAAGTGCAACCTTAAACAAAATGAACTCACAAAAAACCATTGACAAATTAGCTTAATTCACTCTAGATGTATGATTAAAGCGTTGTGAGCAAAAGGGATTAACAATGGGATCCCTTTAGATCAGAGGTTCCTGACCAGGGGGTGCGAGACGATATTCCATGGGGGGGGGAAACTTGGGTTTTCAAAATTATAGTGTATATGCATAACTCGTTGCCATTATTTTGAACTTTTGCAAGGGGTACGAGAATATACCAGAAGCGTTCTAGGGATGGCGGGGTATAGAAAAGGTTGGGAACCCCTTCATCTCCCTTAGGGCTGGTTAAAGCAATGTTCAGTTCCTCTAAGGCAAATCTTGATAAGCTTCAAGAGATTTAGAATGTGATTTATATACATATCTTTCTGCATGCTTCATCAATAAATCATATTTCCATATTAAAAATGGAAGCCAGAAATTTAACTCACAGCTGACCCAAATTTGCAATACATTGGACACCAATAGGATTCTGCATTAAAATCTCAGCTCAATGTGCTGTTTTTTTCTGGATTATGTACTTTTGATTTGATAGCTGCCTTAGTAAAAAAAAAAAAAAATCACCACTGATAAAATCCTGTATTCCTCAAAGACTGCATGTTAGAGATAGAAGACTGAGCTGAAACTATGTATCCTATTCCTGTTAGGCGGCAAGATTATATTTTAATGAATGGATACTCCATAAAACACAATTTCCTGGCAGAGTCCAGGAAAAAAGACCAGTGTCACTTCCCCAAATATCCTGGTATCCCATTAATTACATCATAGGTGAAAATCAGGTCCTTGTCCAGTCATGCAGTCGTTGGTGGTCTCTGAGCTTGTTTGCTTGCTTTATTTTATTGTTTTATAGTTGTTTTATTAGCAGCCTTGGTAACATCTTCAGTGCTTGTCCAATCTTTTCTTGTCCAAACCAATGTCCAATCTAATTCAAGTCTTTGTCCAATCATTTGGAGAAATTTTTAAGATCTACGCCAGCTAGAGAAATTACTAACTACTAACCCCTAAGGAATTTCTTTAACTAATAAATACTTTATTTGACAGAATATGAAATCAGAATATTAAGACATGAAATGAAATTATTTTTTAAACTCCGTAAAGCATTATAGATCAGTTTTATACATGTGCAAATTGTAGTCTCAGACATATAGTGCAAAAATCTATCAAGGAAATACATATAACCATGACTAATAAAGACTAGTTCAGTTCATCACAGTGATTTGACAAATCTCCAACTTCATCTTGAAGAGGTATCTTCTGAACTTCATCCTTGGATAAAAAAGTTCCTCCCCATTTCTCCTTTAGAAATCCTTCTCTTACCCCAAGTCTGTCAGTTCAGAGTTCAAAGGGGTTCAACAGAGGCAGAGTGGCATCTTCTGGATTTGAAATCAATTTAAGTGGCACCCACCCGACCCAACATTTAATTGGTCTTTTATTGCCCCGAAGGCATATCTGAGAATGCACCCATAACTTTCTTTGCTCAACCAAGGGCAAGATCATCACTGGGATAAATCTTAAAATACAGCTGGAAACTCCCGAGTGAGTAGATATATCTGGGCATAGAAAATGCATTTTTGTTATGGAATGAGAATCAAGCCAACTCATCCTTGAAGGCCACGGCCAAACTCATGCAATGATAGATCAAAAAGGAATCAGACTGCCAATGCCCCAAAACTATCTGCATCAGTCTTTAATGCTACATGGTTCAGGTCAATATAGGAGGACAATCGAAAGGCAAATCCGAGCAGCTACAACTTTCCCTCTTGCTCCTGCTAGAAAGGAATTGGAGTAACTTTCCACTCAGCTGCTGGGAAGGCAGTAAGTCATTAATTAGCTTTAAGTGATGAAATATTGGCTTTTTCCTTCTGGAGTAAAGTTTGAAGTGATAAGAAAGCTAGAGATAAATTAAAGAAGCACCTGCTTTGCTTCACTTTATATTTGGAAAGATCTTCTTTTCAAGCTGGATCTGTAGGAAAGGCCATCTCCGAACCACCACTTTGGAAGTAGAGACTGTGAAAAGCCCTCTGAAACATTTCCCTCAACTTAGCTGCAGTTATTTTTTAGCTGAGCAAAAACTTTTAGTATTACTTTGGCATTCTACTTTAAGCAAATCTTGATGCCTTCTTAGGGAAACACAGTACTTTTAGGAAGTTCACCTACTAAGTTAGACTTAAAGTTAGGTTTTAGTTCATTAGGGTTTTATCTTTAGATTTGCTCTAAGCAAAATTCTGGTGCTGTATAATAGCAGTCAAACAGGTCCAAGGGAAGTAACGGGCTTGATTCCAAGCCAGCAAGAATAAACAGAGGCAGCTGTATATTATATACAGTTAGGTTTGTAAACCTTTTCCCTATTCCTCTCCCCAAGGGAAACATTAGCAGAATTCAATTCAGCCAAGAAAAGAAATCCTATCGTATGGACCACAAGAATTATACCTGGGATAAAATTCCACCTCACCTATTTAACGTAAAGTGCACTGGAGTCCTGTATCAAAAAACAGTAACTTTTTTCCAACCCTTTTGGTGGAACAACGGAAAAGCAATAAACTGATGCTCAACCTCTTAAAGAGTTGCTGGAATACTAGAAGTTAGCTGATTTGTGGAGTTTATCTTTTATCTTGTTTTAATCTACATTTTCTACAGAGTTTTGTCCTTCAGAGAACAAAGGAAAAGAGGAACTTAGAAAGACTGAAGTCATCCCGAATCCTGACATCACTGCCCCCAGATCCCACCAGCTACTGGAAGAAGAATTTGTGAAGCGCACAAAGCACCAGTAATGTGACCAGTCACTCAAGAGGCATATCAGACATGATAAATCTCATCTTCCAAAGCATGATTTGCTTCCCCATGAAGGTGGCTTAAGGTATTGTTCCGCAGGATTTGCCAACCACGGTGGAAGCTACTTAGAGTGGTGCTTCGTGAGACCGATGGTGATGTTTCTTTCTTGAATCGGAAACACTCAGGTTGGTATAGTTTCCTAGAAAGCTTAACAAAATCCTCCTTGTCTTGGTTTTTAAATGCCTCTGCATAGCGTAACATCTTGTGCTTGCTGACATCCAGACGCTCTTCCACCCTATGAAAAGGAGAGCAAATAAATTTACTTATTTGTTTATTTTAGAGACTATCCAATTCCTCTGGGTGGCTTGTATTATAAAATAAAAACAGAAAGTAATGAAAAAAAAAACCTAAAAGGACAACATCACACTTTCCCCCCCCACTAAAAAAAAACAGAAAACTAACATGTCAGGTTTAGCCAAGATCCCTCATTATGAAAACAGGTTCAAGGCCAGAACTAATCAATCTAACACTCCAACAAGCATTAGACCAGGGGTCTTCAAACTTGGCTCTTTTATGACTTGTGGACTTCAACTCCCAGAATTCCTCAGCCAAGCACACCTTGTGGGAGTTGAAGTCCACAAGTCATAAAAGGGCTAAGTTTGAAGATCCCTGCATTACACTCTGGAACCAGATTCTGCTGCTATCAATAAAGCTCTTATTATCCAGCTCTTCAGGTTTTGTGCCACAAAAATGCTGGTTTGAACCTAGGACCCAGTTTTGCTAGCATGGGAATGGGTGTGCACTTGGCTGTAGGGCATGTAAATCTGGGATTTGTAATAGGCAACTTGAATCCTGCAAAGTAGAAAGCAGTAATAGAATTACTGGACCTGGCTTGTATTATTATTCTCTGATTTCAATTTTGAGTGCCAGCCTCAGATTCTGTCCTTAGTTAGAAAATATAATTTCCAGATTGAGATTCAGTCACTGATATTTTCAAATAAGAACACAAATAGCCTGCGTTTGAAAAGCTGGATATCAATTTAGCCTGAATTAAATAGGCTAGTATTCTGTATCTGCTTGGTATAAACAGCTTTTTATGGTCCTCTACTTAGGTGCCTAGACACATTTTAACTAATTTTATTAACTATACTGGAAACTATTCCTGTAGGCAATATACAACTAGGTAAAAGTAGTTCACCTGAGAAACCATCTGTCTCCTAACCCATATTCTTGGCCACAAATACCAGACCGAGGCCAAAGACATCGCGGGAGTTTCCGTTCAAGCATGACTGTAGTAGCAACAACCTGCATGAAAACAAACAGATTAGTTCAATCCCGCCACAAAACCAGGTAAACTGTTGTGTTCAAAAATAAAATAGAAAATGGTTCAAATACATCATTAGGTTTTAATTTATTAGAATTCAGTAAATGGAACCAAAATGAAAAAAAATCATACAAATGGGACCAGACACAAAACCAGAAGCAACTATCTATTTTACAGTGCAATTTTCTGCCACAGTTAGAAATAGACAAGTACTCAAGATGGTTCAAGTGTTATTCGGGAGTCTTAATCATCACCTGGCTAGGTGATTGACCTCTGGGTCAATCTGAGGCAACAACTGGTCCAGAATGTGGCAATAAGATTTTTGGTGGGCAGTCCATCCTTGCATAATAACATCTCTCCAAAAGTGGCCTCTATGCTCAGTTCAAAATGTTGATAATGACCTACAGAGCCTTGTCTATGTAGCTCTGTCTTATCTGGCACTGCTTTGTCTGAATTAAATCCACCTATCCTGTGGGAATATTTTAGGGAGGGCTGGAGTTAGGGGACATGGACAAGAAGTTTATAAAGCTCTCTCCCATATAGGATTTTTAAGATGACTAGAGACAATGTATTTTACCAATCCTTCAATTGTACTAAATGCTAATGGTGTTGAGAGTCTTTTGATTTGATAGGGGATAAAACTATGGTAGAGGCTTCATGTGAATATAAACAATTTAGCTTTCGTAAAGGAAAGCTGAGTTTTCAGGGAAAATACCCATAATACAATCTTCCCTCTGCCTCACAATACATTTCTCAGCAGATAGAGCCAGGTGCACTTGGCTAATGGGGTTCCTTCCACTTCACAATCAGTGGCAAATGTGGTTATGCTTGAATTAGTTTTCTGTTTTCGCTTTGTTTTAAAGAGTGAAGTAGCTCTATCTTTATATATTTCATATAAATCAACAGTTCTTAATTTTGCATGCACTGAATAAATACTGGTATTCAGTTAAAACCACAAACTAGCAAGTTATGTAAAATAAAGTTTCATGTATAAGAATTCTCACTGACATAATCAGATTGTAAGCATGTGATTTCAAACTGAAGATTTCAGCTCAACAGTCATAGGGAAGAACATCCTGAACATAAACTAATCCTTTTGTGTGTTCCAAACTAACAAAACTGAAGTTTCATCTCGAGTGAAAGAGTGTTCTGTGATTGGTTAGTTTCTTTTTAAAAATTCTCCAAACTAAGAAGTTTGGTAAGCTAATATAGTAAAGCAAGGGTCTTCAAACTTGGCTCTTTTATGACTTATGGATTTCAACTCCCAGAATTCCTCAGCCAGGCACAAGTCCACAAGTCATAAAAGGGCCAAGTTTGAAGAGCCCTGCAGTAAAGGCTGTATCCCTGTTGTCTTTATCTAGAATTGGTTAAGGAGGAAAAAGGAGGGGTGAGGGAGAATTAGTTAGGCAATGTTCTCAGATTAAGTTACAGTACATGTTATCCTATAGGGCAATTAAGGTTGATTGTTGGTAATAGAATGTTATTGCACTGGGTTGTCTTAGCATGTACATTGTGTTACTGTACTATTGAGTTTTCAGGTTGCCAAATTGAAAAATTAGGTTGCCTTGATTGTTGAGAGTTACAATGGGTTACCAAGGCAAAATGTATACATTGCTCATGTGCATTAGGTAGATCAGCGGTTCTCAACCTATGGGTCGCGACCCCATTTGGGGTCGATCGACCATTTCTCGGGGGTCGCCAAACAAGGCGATCTGCCATTTCCCCCCCTCGGGGGGGCGGCGCCGTGCATGCGCGCCGCGCGTGGGGGGTGGCGCCATGCATGCGCACCGCACGTGGGGGCGCCGCCGCACATGCACGTAGCACGTGGGGGCGGCGCACATGGGCCGCCGCCGCGCATGGGGGCGGCGCCGCACATGCACGGCACGTTTGTGTGACGGGGGTCGCCGTCACACAAACATTGAGAAGCACTGAGGTAGATACTCTTGTGTGTATGTGTGTGTGTACATTACCCACTGAAATATGTTTTCCCTTTGTTAATGTTGTTCATAGGCTGTGTTGACATTAATCTATTGCTCTTGCTTCCTTTCTTAAATCATTTCTGTGGCTGTTTGTGCAAGGTCACAGCCTGCACAATCATGCTTAACAAGTGATTGTTATGAGCTATGAGAGGTTTTTTTTTTAATATTAAGTGGCCAATTTTTCTGTAGCCTTGATGATAGGCATTCAGCATGAATTACTACGCTATCTAAAATGTGTTCCAAGGATGAAAAATACAGAGTAGAAGAGCTTGCTTTGAGTTCCTTTGTTCCCTATGGTGGAACATCCAAACTGATTACTGATTTTTGAACACAGCCCTCTCAAACATACCGACAGAACATTTTTATAAAAAAAATTTCATCTTCTTAAGCTCAAAACAATTTCTCCCCTTTCATGCACAGACCAAGCAATCAAATGATTTTCTAACATAAAATAATTCTCTATATTTAGGAAAAAAACTAATGGGGGGGGAATAGATCAGACCTTATTTTCTGGATAATTAATTAATCTGTAACAGAAAAGAATTTGACTGACAGAGCATGCCACTACATGAAGTGGCATTTGCAGTTTGTAGAGTACAAAATGAACACAGCATTACTACATCAGCTGGAATGAGAAAAAGGATATGGGGGAGTAATCACAGTTGTTTACTTATTCTAAGTATCTTTCAAATGGTTGCACCTTAGTTTTAGTTTTAACTATTCAACAGATAATCTCAATATTACGTAGTGTTTTTATGAACAATTTGAAAAACCTTTTCAACTATTAAAAGTGCACATTACACATAAGCAAAAGGAAAATGGATTTGAATGTTGATATAACATGTTTATATAGAAGTGAGTTCTACCATGTTTGTTGTGAGCTTAATATTTTACAGAGGATACAGCCTTGATTCTAGAATCTAATTCTGAGGTCTTTAGATTGTCTCTGGACTCATTTCTTTAAACATGAGTACAGTGTCTCTTCTTCCCTCTTGTGTAGCCATGCACAGCAGATCTGAAAACTGAAATTTTTCATTCCTATCTGTAAGCCTATATGTTGAAAAGAATTCATTAAAAGAACTGGAATGAATTAGAATTACAGATTAATTTAGCAGCTGCTTCTAACTAAGTGTGATAATGGTAGACTCTATTGTCAATAGTGGAGAATATAATTACTTTAGGAAGAGTTAACATTAAATTAGCTCCCAGCTAATAGTAGTGGCATTCATAACAAAACTTACAGCGTAAGGACATATCAGTATGATAATTTTATTTAACATAGACTAGTTTACTTAATTATTATGATTTCTTCAAAATATATAATATTGGAGAATTATAAAAGATAATTCTGGGAAACTCCAGTCCCCTTTAGAGTCACAAACCCCAGAAATACTTCATTGGAAGCCATGGCAATGAAATCAGTTGTAAAGTGGTCTAGATTTCCAGTGCAGACACATCCAAAGCAGCAAGAACATGACTATAATCTCACCTGTGCTCTCCAAAGCTCATCCTGTTCATTGGCTACTCGCCAGTGAGTGTCACCCATCATGGCAATGAGCAGGTTGAGCATGAGCAAAGCAGCAATAATAGCAAAAGCAGCATACACCACACAGAACACAAAGGGCAGATCCACATCATAGTTGGCCGGTCCATCTATGATGGTAAGGAAGAGCTCAAACGTACTGAAGACAGACATGGGATAATTATAGAATTCTCCCAGATTGCTTGGATTTTCTGTCTGAAAGATGATGTAGAAAGCTGTTCATGAAACAAAAATGAGCAGTCAGCTACATATACATGTATACACACACACAGACGCACACACACACACACACAACCAGATAATGACATCCTCAATTTACTCTATTCTTTTCAACCACTCTGCCACAAGAATCTTAATTTCTTATCTATCTTTCTATTGATGTTCTCTCTGAGTTACTTATCCCAAAGGTTAATAGCTTCTCTTAATTCTCATGAAACATCTAAGCTCGGCATGTAAATTCTTTTCTTCTCTTCCATAACTTGAATATCTGGATACTGATATTCAATGCTGCGGAAGTCCCACAAAAACAGGCAATTTTAAACATGTGATATACAAATACAGATATGGATGAAAAGGAGCAAAATCTATCATCAGGTGTGTTTGGTAGGCAACAATGTGCAATCATATATTTTCTAAAAAAATATGGGGAAGCCAGAATAACAGAAGGCTCAGGGAAAAACATCTTCTAAAATAATGGCTCTTAAACTTTGCATCTTCAGAACACTCTGTTCCTAAAAAGTTGTACAAGAAACCTCAGTACATTTCCTATAGAATTCCCAAACGTAAGAACTACGCTAAATTAGAGCAAAGGATCTGTTCTTCTCAGTTTTAACAATGGCCTCCCAAAGTTGGCAACAATTTATTCTGCTATTTATTCCTCCATTTCTCCCACTAATATTTAGGAGCAGATTGCCCCCAAATTATAATACATTTTGGATGAACTTCCTTTTAACAATGGCTACCAAAAGATTGATAACAATCTTTCCTGCTGTTTATTCCTCCATTTCTTTCACTAATATTTAGGAGCATATTGCCTCCCCCCTCCAAATTATAATGCATTTTGTTCAAAGAAGACACTAGTCACTATTGTTAAGTTAGTGTACTGATCACATTCACTGAAACCTATGCCCAGCATCTCCATTTGCATAACAGTAAAAATTCAGCAACGAATACCAAATAATTTATGTTTTAGATTGCATTATCTGCTAATATTGATTTCTTGCTTTAAAATTCCATAAAATTCTAGGATTCTTATGAAAACCACTGCTATTACAAAAACATGGTACAATTTTTTTAAAAAAACAAACCCTGGGAATATAGAGAAATTTTTTTTTCCCCCCACTGGAGAAATGATGAATACCATAATAAGGACATTATAAACAGATTCTCAGACTGCATATCCAAAGAATACTGGAATGATATTGGAAGTTCACATATTTCTTTACAGCTCACCTGAGGCAAAGCCAAATATGACAACAGCCATTAGCCCACAAAAACGTATAAGGTCACCAAATATCATCTATGGAAAAGATAAAACAATAATATTATTATGTCTAACTTTTCCCCAACTTCTACTTTTCCCAACCCACTATTGTCTGACCTTTAAATTCTCAGTTCCAATTACTGGAAAAGATGCATTTCTGAGAGAAATTCAAGTAGTTCTCAATTCACAACCAGTCACTTAAGAATTATTCAAAATTACACTGGACCCACCCAAAAGCTACTTACAAACCATTTTTGAAATTACAACAGTCACACACACATCCTTGCAGTCATGTGATTGCATTTTGGGTGCTTAGCAACCAGCTCAGCTTTACAGCCGTTTGCAGCATTCCGCAGTAACATGCTTGCAATTTGTGACATTTCTTGCTAGTTTGTTGACTTCCAGTTTCTGACAAAAAAAAATTCACTGGGGAAGACTGATTGGTTTAATCAGTGTGACATTTGCTTAACAACTACCACACAAACTATTGCAAAATTGGATTCAGTCGTGCAATGCCTTGATTTATGACTGCATCAACTTACAACCATAATTGTAGGCTCAGTTATGGTTTTAAGTTGAGGAATACCTGTGGAATTCTTTGTCAGTTTGACTTCAGTTTTTAGCTTTGTTTTCCTTACCTTTTGTATCATGATGGTGAAAGGCCCAAGCATCTGAAATCCTCGTGCAAAGTACATGACATTGCACCAGCCCAACACCAGGGCAAAGGACATGGGGACCACTTCTCCTTCTGTGCTGGTCAGACGCATTACCATGATTATCAGGATTACACAGGCGTATGTAATGCTGCAAGTGAAAAATATAATTAAGTGAGAATGAGTAATTAATTAATACAGCCTAAATTAATTAAGACAGAATTGAGCCCTAAACATACATGAGCAGACAATACATGTAAATATATGCTCATGCGCATTTACAGAATAGAGAATCTCTTTATTCCCTTGTGCTGGAACAAGGTATTTCTTCCAAAAAATTGTTTGCTGTCAGTTTTAATGCATGCAGTATTTATTTCTCAGGTTGAAACATCTGAGGAATTTCAAATTTCTCAGGAGATTCAGTAGACAACTCTTCCAGACAGAACTTAAACAGATGTTAAGAGACACAAATTTGCAAAGAAAGAAATCTAGATTTGAAGCAGATAGAAATGGAAGAGAAAAATGGTGAAATGAAAGTTACAATGCCAGAGTATATATAAGAAAAAAAGAGTATTTGTGAGCTTTGGAACTGTAGAGGCTCACATTATTATGTGAAAAGGTCCTCCCAGGATGGTTTGTCCAAAGTACTTTTTGGCTCCAACTCTTAGAATATCTGGAATCTATAAAAAATGATATCAAAGGTTTATAACCAACAACCACTTCAGTGAGGACTGAAATCACCAATGTGCTGAGTCTACCTCTGAAATTGACTCAACAGTACAGAGAATTCCGAACATATTTTGTATTCAAATCAAGGAAAAAATAGAGAGAAACAAGCCATTATGAGAACAATGCTGTTAATCCCTGATATAGTTTTATAAAGAGAAACCTATATACCAGTGATGGCGAAGCTTTTAGAGACCGAATGCCCAAAAACTGGCTCTGTCCCCACTTTGCCCCCCTGCCTTGCCCCCCATCCCCCGCTCCACCTGCCCCCAGGACTACTCACCGCCTCCAGGGCCCGCAGATCGCCC